GAACCACCATCAATTTGCAATGGTTCAGGGTTCGTGTAATGTACATTTGAAACCATTTCTTAGCGTCTCAACCCTAAAAAAATAGCAAAACTATTTTTGAGGAAAAGCATTATACTGAATTAAATAAAGAATAGTAGCTTTATATTGGATCATACTAATACTAATACGGGCTAAAGACAATGTGGTATTTGTATAGAGGTATTCCAAAATGACATTCTGATAATCAACATTTGTTCTGGTATCATGTGTATATACGCATAATACAACTGATCTTCTCCCTCTGCAAACAAAACAGAAAACAAGGTTATTTAATAAAAGGACCATGCGACAAATAATCATTGTGATTCAAATTGATGCAAGGATTTTTATGCCTCCGCCACCGAAGGTGGTGCCGGAGGCATCATGTTTTCGGGTTGTCCGTCCGTACGTCCGTCCCGTTTGACCGTTATCACAATATCTCAAGAACCATTTAAGATTTAAACTTAAGACTCGGGAATAGTATTTATCATCATAGGAAGACGATCTGATTAGATTTTGGAGTACGTAGGTCAAAGGTCACAGGTCACAGAGGTCAACTTATGAAATTCCTTGTATTGAGTTTGTTAGCGCGATATCTCAAGAACCATTTGAGATTTAAACTTCAAACTTAAGGATAGTATGTATCACCATAGGAAGACGATCTGATTAGATTTTGGAGCACGTATGTCAAAGGTCAAGGGTCACAGAGGTCAACTTATGAAATTCCATACATTGAGATTGTTATCATGATATCTCAAGAACCACTGGAGATTTAAACTTCAAACTTAGTGATAGTGTGTATCACTATAGGAAAACAATCTGATTACATTTTGGAGCACGTAGGTCAAAGGTCAAGGGTCATAGAGGTCAACTTATGAAATTCCATACATTGAGATTGTTATCATGATATCTCAAGAACCACTGGAGATGTAAAAACTTCAAACTTAAGGATAGTATGTATCACCATAGGAAGACGATCTGAATAGATTTTGGAGCACGTAGGTCAAAGGTCAAGGGTCACAGAGGTCAACTTATGAAATTCCATACATTGAGATTGTTATCATATCTCAAGAACCACTGGAGATTTAAACTTCAAACTTAATGATAGTGTGTATCACCATAGGAAGACAATCTGATTAGATTTTGGAGCACGTAGGTCAAAGGTCAAGGGTCACAGAGGTCAACTTATGAAATTCCATACATTGAGATCGTTATCGCGATATCTCAAGAACCACTGGAGAATTTTCACTTCAAACTTAATGATAGTATGTATCACCATATCATAATATCTCAAGAACCACTGGAGATTTAAACTTCAAACTTAATGATAGTGTGTATCACCATAGGAAGACAATCTGATTAGATTTTGGAGCACGTAGGTCAAAGGTCAAGGGTCACAGAGGTCAACTTATGAAATTCCATACATTGAGATTGTTATCATGATATCTCAAGAACCACTGGAGATTTAAACTCCAAACTTGTTTAAATTGCTCTATGGCGGAGGCATCATTTTCGACTGCGCGCAGTCAAAATTCCATCTAGTTTTGAATATGCAATGCTTTTCACCAGAATCTTCTTTGTAAAAACGACTTTTACAAATCTCAGCCATGCAATTCTGCCACTGTGCTGTAAGATCACTTTGAGATTAGGAGAAGTGTATTATGTAATGGGTATTTTAAATTGAATGGAACGTCTCAACTCAGTAAGCATGGCTGAGATTTGTAAAAGTTGTTTTTACAAAAATGATTCGGGTGAATAATAGTGCTTATTCAAACAAATATTCGCATCAATTTGAATCACAATCATTATTTGTCGCTTAATCCCTTTTAATGACCATGTTTTCTTTTTCGTTTGCAAGGGGAGAAGAAGATATGTCACGTTAAAGACATCATAAAGATCAGTGTTGTATGCGTATATATTATATACACAGGCCAGTAACAGCTATGTAGCTTGTAAATTTGTAAGAGGGAAAATGCTGATTGAAATTATAATGATGAAATAGCAAATAATTGTGGAGTATCATAGGTACCAATTCAATGGATATTTGTATAAAAAAGAGCCCCCGTCAGTAATAAAAGAGCCCCCGTGAGAAGGCTCACGGGGGCTCTTTTTTCGGGAGAAGAGCCCCCGTGGACAAAAAATTAATTTGAGCCCTGCTTCTACTACTACAATACTACTACGTTACTACTCAGCACTACTTGTAATACGCCTACAGAACAGTCGGGCAACATGAAACTTGCGATGATCATCGTGTCACTTGCCCTGTTTTTTGCTGCTGTATTTTCCTCCGTGAAGCAGTGGGAACTGAAAATCGAAGAAGGGGATTGTAATTACGGCTTTCCACTTTCATACAAGTGGTGCATTCATATTAATATTGATCCCAATATTACTTTCAACATGATTAATATCAATAATTTTAGTCTTTATATCAATTTTAACTTTGAAAATGTGTAGTACGTACGATGCACTTTTGCACCCGTGTCTAGTTTCAGTATTTTCAGCACCCAAACTATACAGTAACATCATCGCATCGTTCGAACTAGCTATACGTACACCAGGACAAATCGATTATTGGGATGTTTTGAATTGCAAATAAAATACATGTACATAATATACAACTTGCACATTTTGAGCTGAATGATTAATACATTTTTTCATTGCATGCCATGACGTGTGTATCAGGTAGGCTTATTATAGTCATGATTGAAGTTTGGGAGTATCACAGATTCCGAGCAGGTATCACAGTTATCGAGTACAGGTATATATTTTGTATAAAAGGCTAGGATAGTATATTAACAGGTGAAATAGAAAGCGAGAAAAGAGAATCTTGATAAAGATATCAAGAAAGGGAGAAGTGTATGGGAGAAGAAGAGAGAGAGAGAGAGAGAGAGAGTGAGAGAGAGAGAGAGAGAGAGAGAGCCACGAGGGAGAGTAGGTGTAGTTAGTTCGGATGTTAGAGATTCTGGGAGTAGTAGTAGTATTTGCCAACGTCTCCCCAATTTCAGTTATTTAACAAGTAATTTTGTGCCCCATGTTTCAAAATTAACAAACCTTATTTCTTCATTTATATTTAATAATTTTGTAAAAATTAAATAAAGGAGTGTAATAGCCAGCCACGTAGCCACGGGGGGGGGGGGGGGCACGTCCCCCCAAAAAATGTAGGGGTATATACCAATGGATGAAGTAGTATATTTTCGCTTTGAAGTTTCCCTTTTTAGGTGCCCTGTTTTCCAGAAAGTGCCCATTTTGTATGGTGCTCCAACCTCATTTTGGAAGACGCTCCGCCGCTCCTGACTAAAGGGGTAGTTATCCTGAAAGGGGGGTGAGGTGGTGTAAATGTCCTAGGGAGTATTTGTCCTAAGGAGGTAATTTTGCTGGGGGTATTTCCTTGGGGTAATTGTCCTTTGGAGGGTGAGGGGGGGGGGGGGTAATTGTCCCGCTGGTAATTGCCCGGGGGTGATTGCCCAGAAGGTGATTTTTGTGGGTTTTTTTCATTTCATCACTTAATTGGGGGGGGGGGGGGGTACGTTCCCTCCCCGTACCTCCCGATAGCTACGCAGCTGCCCTTCCACTCATTTCAACAATATTAGTTCTGAACTGGTATTGCTGAACTCGTTTTTATTATTATCAAGAACATGTTACTTTGATTTCCATACAAAACCAGTGGGCAGAGTAGCGTGGCTCATGTTACTGCGGGGGCACCGGCATTTGGGTTGGGGTCGGTTGATGTAATGCAAATTTCAAGGGCAACTAATTCGGGGGAAGATGTGGAAGGTGGTCAAAGCATCCTTTTTTTCAAATAGTCTCTCCCTCCTTTCATCTCTTTTTCCCTTTTCTTTCTTTGTCTCTCCTTTTTCTGGCAATAAGTCTTAGAGGGCACACGTCCCCTGTGGTCCCTCGTAGCTACATCACTGTTCAGAACACGAATATCACATGCCTTGTTTCATTCAGAAATATATCACGCACATGTTGACAGCTCTAGCAAACACACTACTCTTTCACGTACATATATTGCCATCATCAGTGGTGGATTTAGGGCTTGAAGGTGGGGCATGGGGCACATCGTATGACGGGCATGGTGGCTCAGTGGTTAGAGCGCCCGCCTCATGAACCGGGGGTAGTGGGTTCGAACCCCGGCCGAGGCATACCAAAGACTTATAACAATGGAACCTACTGCCCCCCAAAAATCAAAAAAATCATTCCATGAATTGGGGTAAAAATAATGTTTCCACCTTTATGACCAACAGTGTATAAATATATATAAAATATATATATATATATATATATATATATATGATTTTATATATATTTAGTCTGCAGATGTATTCCGATGTTGTATCCCCCATTACAACCCTGCACCCGTGCTTGACCATTGCCATATTTACAAAAAATCATTAGCAAAATACACAAATGAAATATATATATGAACTGTGTTTACACTTTAATAGAAACGCTTACATACCCGCAATTATTTTATCCAAGGCTAAATATTCACGACAAAACACACAACAAATAAGAAAGATTCAAATAATAAAAATAGTTTAGTTAGTACTGTTTTTATTGTATTTTCCATTCAACAGAACGTGACGGATTATTCTTATTGTTGTTCTTCTATAAAGTCTAAATTTATAAATGTATATATATATATATATATCTAATGTATTTGTAATGAACGTTTCTACATTTAAGACAAATGCATAACCTTTTTAAAGACAGAGGTAAGTTACAACTCGAAACCCAAAACTATCATCAGGTGACAACATGGAGTAAAATGAACTTGCTCTGACAGTTTCTTATGCTGCTCATTAGAAGTTTTTCTAAGTCCGAATATATATATATAATTATAATTTATACTTATATATTTGTAATGAACGTTTTTACATTTAGGTCAAAGGTAAAAACCTTTTTGATAAAGACAGAGGTGAATATCTAATAACATGTAACCATCCGAAACCAAAGGCTATCAAGAGGTGGCAACATGGAGTGAAACAGAATTAAAAAAATCAGGTTGCTCATTAGAAGTAGAAGAAAATCAAGTTGTTTAGAAGCACTTCCCTTGGACGATGGATGGACCGGACTCATTGTATTCCTGCTTGCTGATCCAAATCTGTTGGAAGGTTGTTTAGAAGCACTTCCTGTGGACGATGGATGGACCAGACTCATCGTATTCCTGCTTGCTGATCCACATCTGTTGGAAGGTGGAGAGAGAGGCAAGAATGGAGCCTCCGATCCATACAGAGTATTTCCTCTCAGGAGGAGCGATGATCTTGATCTTCATGGTTGGTGGGGCAAGGGCGACAATCTCTTTCTGCATCCTGTCAGCGATTCCTGGGAACATGGTGGAGCCTCCGGAGAGAACGGTGTTGGCGTATAGATCCTTACGGATGTCAACATCGCACTTCATGATGCTGTTATAACAGGTCTCATGGATTCCAGCAGATTCCATTCCAATGAAAGAGGGCTGTAAGAGGGTCTCTGAGCAACGAAATCGCTCGTTGCCGATGGTGATGACCTGTCCGTCGGGAAGCTCGTAGCTCTTCTCGAGGGAGGAGGATGAGGCAGCAGTTTGCATCTCCTCCTCAAAATCAAGAGCTACGTAGCAGAGCTTCTCCTTTATGTCACGGACGATTTCACGCTCAGCTGTAAGAGATAATAATGGATGCAGTCACATATCAATTGCAGACAAATTGTAAAATGTGAAGATAACAATGAAATGTGTTGAAACCTCCGGGACTTAGAGGGGTATTTTGTTATTAATTATTATCGATCTAATCAGATATTCCTTTGTCAAAAGGATTTGAACAAGCAGTAAAAAAAAAATGAACATGCAGGTGTTGTGGTCTGCGGCTTAAAGATAACGAGATGTGAGGTTTTGAATTCCAACCCGAGACGACTGCCCTTTGGTAAGACATTCATCTGTTTACATTAGTATTCTAATATTATAATTATCCCTATTTTAATTATCATCATTAGTATTGCTATTATCATTATCATGTCTTACCAGTGGTGGTGAAAGAGTAGCCACGCTCGGTAAGGATCTTCATCAGGTAATCGGTAAGATCACGTCCAGCCAAGTCCAGACGGATGATGGCGTGGGGGAGGGCGTAACCCTCATAGATTGGTACAGTGTGTGAAACACCGTCGCCAGAGTCGAAAACGATACCAGTGGTACGACCAGAGGCGTAGAGGGAAAGCACGGCCTGGATGGCGACGTACATGGCGGGCGAGTTGAAGGTCTCAAACATGATCTAACAAAAGAAGTTGGGGTAATAAATCAATGCGATAAGTTACAATATATTTATAAGCAAATATTTTTTGAATTAAGAATAAACTCTAGGGATTATAAACTGGGCAAATTCAACTTTTTTATCTGAATGTTCGCGATTTTGTACTCGTAGTCCGTATCAGCTTTTATTTTCACTGCAGTAAAGAAACGAAAAGGTTTTCATAGCATTTTATGGACTTTAAAAAAGAAAAACGATATTTTAGATTGGTCAGGGAGAGCGATATGTCGGTCGTGTGGGGGTATCCGACTAGTTGTCGTCGCTTATGTAGGCTATTGGTCACGTGGGCTATCTGTAGCCGTTGTTCATTTCATTCCTGCCAAAATGGCACTTAAAGGTACTACTGTATGTCCCATTTGCAGGCCAAACAAATGAAAAGATTAAATTCCAACTGCATTTGAAGGAAAAAAACTAAGTTAGAAGTTCCTTCGAAACGAAAGGATTAAAAAGGGCTTTTAGTGGGAAAATAACTACATGTTACCATTAGTTATCGAATCGAGTTAAGTAATTGCGATCACCTAAGTAATAGTTTCATTTTCAGACCCTTTCACCGAATGGTCGTACGTTTTGTGCTGTACAAATATTCAATCAGTTTAATTTTGGCCGTCACAAATAGTGGGTTATTGATGTAGACAAATGCTCATGTACCTGTTAAAGCTAAATGTATGTATGTTATTACAATAAAGAAAAATAGATGTCAGTAAGTCTGACAGTGAAGTCTAGAAGATAAACGGGTTTCCTTGCATAATTCGAATAATACGACATTGCTAATGTTTAGATTTCATAGATAGGACATACATGACAAGTCATATTCATAGTTCCTGCAAAGTTCTACAGAATCTGATGTTGGGTGCAAAAGAGACATAGTATCTTTAAGGAATGTTTTGCAATTCCGCACTATATCCTTACCTGTGTCATCTTTTCCCTGTTGGCCTTAGGGTTGAGGGGGGCCTCTGTCAGAAGGACGGGGTGCTCCTCTGGAGCGACACGAAGCTCGTTGTAGAAGGTGTGATGCCATATCTTCTCCATATCGTCCCAGTTGGTGACGATACCGTGCTCAATAGGGTACTTCAGGGTGAGGATACCTCTCTTGCTCTGTGCTTCGTCTCCAACGTAGCTGTCCTTTTGTCCCATACCAACCATGACACCCTGGTGACGGGGCCTGCCAACGATGGATGGAAAGACAGCCCTTGGTGCATCGTCTCCGGCGAATCCGGCCTTCACCATTCCGGACCCGTTGTCGACGACAAGAGCGGCAACATCATCGTCACACATGATGATTGAATTTCGTTTTCCTGTCCTGAATATGAGAAAAACATACCCAGAGAAATATTAATTTTAGTTTCTTTGTTTGCAGACTAGTTAATTCGGGGTGGTGGATTTGGCATAGGTCTGTTTTCCTTTCAAACGGTCTAAAAAACTTTCATACAACCAACAAAATTCACGACAAAGTGGGATTATAATTATGTCTGATAATTCTATCCCCGTGAAACATGTTGTCCTATTTGAACTCCCCGACTATTAATATATCAACATTTGGAATTGATTCATGTTTACTGGCACAGACCAGCGTTAGGCTATTTGACATTCTCATTTTAACATTCTTAAAATCAAAGCTATCCCTAATGCCCGAGTCACATGAATTGAGTTGATGGCGCATAAGAAATTTGTCAATACTTCTTGGCTCAGCCCCTCAAAATACATGGCTCATGACGCCGCCTATTGGTGGATTGGGCGCTACAAGAAAGTACGGGGACAAGAAAATTGTTATCGCTTTAACCCTTACTGTACTGGGCTATTTTGAGCACCTCGTGACTGGGGGAGGGGGGCTGGGAGGCCCCCCCCCATGATCTCGGCCGTCGAAAGTCCGATGAACACGAAAATATGCATGTTTGTAGATATTTACGTAAGGAACAAGATGGTATAATTAGTTTTATCCTAATATGCACATTTTTGTCGTTATAGCCTTATTAATTATGCAAAATGCTAATTTTAAGCATTTTACAGAAAACTCTACATATTTGTCTGTAGACTTGTGAAGAATTTTTTAAAATGTATTGAATAAATGTTTCCTTCATCTCAAATTCATGAGGTTAAATTATTTGTATGATATTTGAAAATGTATAGGTTAATTTGCATAAATTATGAATACGCATTCATGAATATCAAATCTGGAAATATACAGGGAACTAGAATCATTACAAAAATTGTCAGACTCCATTTTTTGAATGTTAATTGAAACTCATTATTCATTTGAGAACTTCTTTTCTAACACAAAATAGTTATTTTTATGTAATTAACAATGATATTTGATGCGATTTTCAAATATCATTTATTTCCTTTTGTATTTTTTTATTTTTTTTAATTTCTTATTATATCTATTGTTTTATTTCTAATGTATTCTTTTGTTCTGGAATACATCAAGTTACTTTGAGAAACATATAAAAGCAATTTGATATCAATTCATATCTCCCACACTTAGGAAGAAATACATATAAACCTGTATTCACATTTCTGCTTGTACACTGTCGCTCATATGGTTGGAATATTTTTGTTTTACCCCAATTTATGGAATTATTTTAAAAATAATTTAAAAATAATAGATCTAGATAATAGTCTACATTCTCAGATTTTATTGAATAATAATTTGCCAATGTGTGTTTTGCGTGACTGCTAAAGCATGTATATGCTACTATGCTTATCAACTAGGGGACCTACGCCTTTAAGTCATAAATGACAGTAATGAGGATTAATGCCCCACAAAAGGGCACTTATATAGTACATCGACACGGTTTCGATCCTGGGGCCTCACAGTTACGAGGCCATTGCTTTGTCACTGAGCCATGACTGTACGCAGCGGGGGCTAGGGTAAGGGGCAGTTTCCATAAATAAAAAACAAAATTCCTTTAGCAATCAAGGATAGGCCTTTCTCGTCATCGAAGCCACTATATATTATAGGGACTCATTTCTAAAGATTTTACGGTTGGGAATTTATTATAGATCTAGACTATATTATACACCTCTAAAAGGCTCTAATAATATCAGCTTTATTTTGTTACTTCTTTTATTGCAGGAATTCTTACCTGAGAACATCACAGCAATTTCTTAAGCTGATATTATTAGAGTCTTTTAGAGGTATAGATCTATAGTAAATTTCTCAACCATAAAATCTTTAGAAATTAGTCCCTATAATTATATAGTGGCTTCGATGACGATAAGGCCTATCATTGATTGCTAGAATAATTGAAATTTAGATCTAGCACTAAGTAGTAACTTTACACGGCAATTTAATGAGCTGATATTATATTAGAGCCTTTTTAGAGGTGTATAGATCTATAATAAATTCTCAACTGTAAAATCTTTAGAAATGAGTCCCTATAATAATTATATAGTGGCTTCGATGACGAGAAAGGCCAAGGCTATCCTTGATTGATAGAATAATTGTAACTTAGTGCTAAATAACAGTTTCACAGCAATTTGATAAGCTGATATGTGTAGATCTGTAATAAATTTGTTAAAGGTAGAGATGTTAGAACTGAAATGAAACATTTGCAAGCCCTTGCCTATGCACGCAAACCATGCATGCTGATATAGGCAAGGCGCTGTGTGTACGTGTGTGAAGCCCAGAGCGGTCAAAGTCTGCGGAGCGGTCGCCTTCCGGTCGCCGCCGGGTTGCCGCTGGGATACTAGTCGATCACTGGGCAGTGAGTTCAAAATCGGTCGACAGCCTTTGACCTAGCGGCTTCGATTTTTGACCTAAATCGCTCGACGGCGAACGCTCGATAAGGTCGGTGCCCGGGCGGCGAACGCTCGGGCACTGAGCGTATTTTGGTGCCTTGCCGATCACCGGCCGGCCGTCGGACAATTTCTTTCAAATCAGCCGGTGGCCCGTGGGAGACCGCTCGGGAATCGGTGGGTCATCAGTCAGTCAATGCCGGTACACCGCCCGGAGAAGCTCCCCGATTTCGCCCAGTTTTGACCTAAAATCGACCGGCGACCGACGGGAAATCGACAGGACACCGCCTAGGCATCGCTGGAGCTCTACAGCCTACTCGACCCTTCCAAAAAATCGTTGGGCCATGCCTAAATTCCGGCGGCGACCGAGCATTTTTTTTTATTTGTGGGAACTGCCCCCTACCCTAGCCCCCGCTGCGTACAGTCATGGTAAAGTGGCAAAGCAATGGCCTCGTAACTGTGAGGCCACAGGATCAAAACTGTGTGGATGTGCTATATTAGTGTCCTTTTGTGGGGCATTAATCCTCATTACTGTCATTGATGACTTAAGGGCGTAGGTCCCCTAGTTGATAAGCATAGTATTAGTAGGATACACATGCTTTAGTAGTCACGAAAAACACTAAATCATTGTCAAAAGAATTCCATAAATTGGGGTAAAAAATAAAATATTCCAACGTTATGAGCGACAGTGTACATGAAATATATTTTAGTTTGGTCTAAGGCATAAATTACTGGTAGCAGGCTTCAGCTGACAGTACGACTATAAGTTTAACAAAATTGTGGGAACTAACAAGGAACATTCTACTGAATCAGTATAGTGTACACGTTGAATAATTAATCAATATTAAACAAGGGTATATATATATATATATATATGCGTGAGTTGAACTCAAATCTCATATCGCATCAACATTGAATATAAGACAAGGAGGCAAGAATTATTCAATGACGGCAAAAACTTACCGAGTTAGAGAGAGAGAGAGAGAGAACTGGATGACGCCACCTGCTAGTTTGCTTGGTAGAGAGTCAAATGATGTTGGGACCAATGAATGCACTACCCTTCCCTGGACATAGATCCCCAAGCGAGAGTTATGTCCAGAGTTTTTGACCAAATAAGGAGAAAATTTAGACGCATTGTACGCCTCAGGGCAGATAAGGAATGCATTGAAAAGAATATGCAAATGAGATTCGGTGCTTATTCGTAAAGGATGTTATTTTACGCTTCAATTATTTATGAAAAAAAAGATGATCTGACGGTAAGGCATTTTTAGAAATGCTTCGCGGCTCATAAACACCCAAGAGGTCACCCCGTTCTTACTCCCTTTTTAAACCGATCTAGGCTAGGCCGATCCACTCGATCGCTTCAGAGGTACGCTTCGTTTATGATCACACTCACAAGCTAGACCGGTCTTGTTGCCATGGTATAGCGCGAACGAGCTAGACCGCTCATGTTGCTGAGGTAGCAAAGGTCAGCGGGTCAAATGTTTGCGCCAAATAACCGAATAGAGTGCCTGATCTTATGCAATAGTTTGTTTCACTTTTTATCAGTCTATCTGTTTTTCTTATATTATTCTTTGTTTTTCCACCTTTCATCTTCTCTTCCGTCTATCTTTCTTTATGTTATTCTTTGTTTTTCATTCTATCCCCTTCTTTTATATCATTCTTGTTTTTATTATATCTTATTTCTATCTTTCCTTACGCTATCCTTTGTTTCTTCCTTCTATCACCTTCTCTTGTGTTGTTCTTTGTTTTTATTATATTCTCTTCCTATCTTTCCTTACGCTATCCTTTGTTTCTTCCTTCTATCACCTTCTCTTGTGTTGTTCTTTGTTGTTATTATATTCTCTTCCTATCTTTCCTTTCACTATCCTTAGTTTCTTCCTTTTATCACCTACTCTTAAGTTATTTTTGGTAACTTGGCCTTGAATTGTTATGCTACCATATTTTGTATTATTATGATGTATTGTGTATTTTGCTTTGTTATTGTTGCTACTTTTTATATGATGCTTTTAATACCATGTCCAAGATGCGAAACAGATTTATTTCTGATCTTGTGTGCCTGTAAAAATATATATAAATAAATAAATAGATTTTTAAAAAAATTAAACAAATACAAGTCAGTCGTTACAACGGAGGACAGTGCGTAACTCATAATGTATATTTGTTTCCACCGTGAATCAAATAGCGGCTTAATTAAATTCGGTGGAAAGTGACCGTGTTTGTATAAAAACGAAGGTGTTTTTTTTTTTTTTTACACAATTTTTTGTTTGAAATATATCTTAATTAATAAGTACCCCAGGGCGATTGCCAAAAGCACAAACATCGTGTGCTAGCCCCCCCCCACACTCACACACAAGCACACATGCAGACATACGCACATACTGGTGGTCTGTTTTTCCTTGTTTAGTCTTTTATGTGTGTGCGTGTGTGTGTGTCTGTCTGTGTGTGTGTGTGGGTTTGTTTGATGTCAGCAGGGGCTTTACCTAAAGTTCTTAAATAATAGGGCAAATACAATTATAATAGAATTATAATACAATATTGATAACATTATTCTAATGAAAGTTTGTTTTCTTAACAGAAGAGAATTCGAGTGTAAAAGACGATCTGAGGGAAGAAGGCTACGAGCCCATTATATCCCATGTAAGGACCCATGTTCCTCGAAATACTTTCCCTACCGAATACATATTTCCCTTCTCTGTAATGTATATGCTACACCCGTGCTGCTGCTTTCCAAGAAAGTTATCATTTTGAGCGAGGTTTGCATGAAAATACATATCTGTGAAGCTACAAAACCAAATGAAATGAAAATTCCTGAAAGCGGAATTGTTATTATATTATAACATGACACTGTGCATACCAATATATACGTGTATAATAAATATATATGTATGTATATATAGCTTGAAGGCAATTTTGATTACAAAAGAGATTATTTTACCACAAAACAATGTATTTTAACATTACAACAAACATATACCTAACTTGAAGGGAACTTTGATTTTGAACTTTGTTTAGGGGTAGGGGACACAGTGCCCCCTTCCACTTTTACAAGTACACCTAAAGTACCCTTATTTAGGTAGGAAAAGTGCCCCTTTTTCATAGGAAAAATGCCCTCTTATACTTTGACAAGTGTCCCTCTTCCTTGTGTAAAGCTCCCCTTCCCCTCCTGTTCTTTCCTTTCCTTTTCGCTCCTTTTCACCTCTGATAAGTGCCTATGTTATTTTGACACATTCCCTTTTCCTTTCTAATAATCACTTCTGATAAGTCATCATTAATAATAATAGAGAATATTTATAAAGCTTATAATGAATTGAAAGTGTCTCTATGCGCTTTAAAACCATGACAAATTTAAATATATAAAGAACATTAATAAAAAAATAAATTACAAAGTAGATAAGCAAAAAATATTTATGGGAAAGTTAACCAATGCACCTATAATTACACCGAAGTAGAACTATTTGACGTTACATGAGGTTTCCTTTTTTAGGTGCCCTATTTTTTCAGAAAGTGCCCACTTTTTATGGTGCCCCCACCTCATTTTGGAAGACGCTCCGCCGCTCCTGACTAAAGGGGTAGTTATCCTGAACGGCGGGGTGTAAATTTCCTAGGGAGTAATTGTCCTGAGGAGGTAATTTTTCTGGGGGTATTTTCTGGGGGTAATTGTCCTTTGGAGGGGGGGGGGGGGGTTGTCTCGCTGGTAATTGCCGGGGGTGATTGCCCAGAAGGTAATTGTTATGGTTTTATTCATTTGATCACTCGGGGGGGGGGGGGGGGGTACGTTCCCTCCCCGTACCTCCATATAGCTACGCCGCTACCTCTCCAGTCGTTTTAACATTATGGGCTTTTCGTTTGTGTGGACAAGGACCGCGTTCCCGTCCTCTAATAATAATAATAATAATTACCCGTTCTTGTATAGCGCATAACACATAGTATTAAAACATGTCCCTAAGCGCTCTCTGGGTAACAGACAAAATGGATGAATTAAATGTTAAATGACCTGGTAATCACTGGTGGAATAACAAACAATTTTGTCTTATTAGAACGAAGATTTCTAGAAGGTTTGTACAATTTTAATAGCTCTATCAAATAAGGAGGTGCAAAATAATAAAAACATTCATAAGCTAACAACAATATTTTGAATAAAATGCGAGAGTGAATGGGTAGCCAGTGTAAATTGGCGTCAGACACCCGTCCTATTTACTAGTTTATATAACCCTTTTCGTTTTTAGTCGACGCCCGTTCTCTACACGACGACGTAATGGCCCCCGCATGCTTATTCAATTTTCCTTCTTTCACTTCTCATGTTATTCTTCGTTTATCATTCTATTATACTCTTTATTTTCCTTATGTCATTCTTTGTTTTTCCTTCTTTCATCTTCTCTTCTATCTTTCCATTGTCGTTCCCTCCCCGTACCTCCATATACCTACGCCGCTATCTCTCCAGTCGTTTTAACATTATGGGCTTTTCGTTTGTGTGGACGAGGACCGCGTTCCCGTCCTCTACTGCGAATTGGCGTCAGACACCCGTCCTATTTACTAGTTTATATAACCCTTTTCGTTTTTAGTCGACGCCCGTTCTCTACACGACGACGTAATGGCCCCCGCATGCTTATTCAATTTTCCTTCTTTCACTTCTCATGTTATTCTTCGTTTATCATTCTATTATACTCTTTATTTTCCTTATGTCATTCTTTGTTTTTCCTTCTTTCATCTTCTCTTTTATCTTTCCATTGTCTATTCTTTATAATTTTCTCTTTCTGTATTTCCTAATGTTATTGTTGTTGTTATCATTCTATCATATTTTCTTTCTATCTTTCCTCATATTATTCTTTGTTTCTTCCTTCTTTCATCTTCTCTCATGTTATTCTTTGTTTTTATCATTCTATCACTTTCTCTTTCTATCATTCCTGATGTTATTCTGTATTTTGTCCTTCTTTCACCTTTTCTTATGTTATTTAAAAAAAAAAAATCATTCTATCACTTTCTCTTTGTCTTTCCTTATGTTATTCTGGTCATGGTACGGTGAGGGTACCGGCATTTGGGTTGGGGTCGGTTGATGTAATTCAAATTCCAAGGGCAACTAATCCGGGGGAAGATGTGGAAGGTGGTCAAAGCATCCTTTTTCAAATAGTCTCTCCCTCCTTTCATCTCTTTTTTCCCTTTTCTTTTTTTGTCTCTCCTTTTTCAGGCAATAAGTCTTAGAGGGCACGTGTCCCCTGTGATCCCTTGTAGCTAAGCCACTGTTCAGAACACGAATATCACACACGCCTTGTTCCATTCAGAAAAGAAATCACGCACATGTTGACAGCTCTAGCAAACACACTACCCTTTCACGTACATATATTGACATCATCAGTGGTGGATGTAGGGTTTGAAGGGGGATGCATGGGGCATATCGTATGACTCCTCTTTAGAAAATTAATTGGCATTATTTAGGTTACCCAGAATTTGACCTACAAGGCTCCTGAATAGGCCATTTTCGTAATGTGACCAAATTTAATGCATAAGTGTTTGTGAAATGCCTCAATACAAATTATTTCATTCACCTGATAGGAATAATAGTATTCAATAGTCAGAATGCAACTGCATATATTAAGTGTTGCTAGGTAGGTCAAGCCATAATGTTTGTCCAACTTTGCAACAACTAATGTATGCAGTTCGGTCTATTGAAATTGTATTATTCTCATCAGGTGAATAAAATAATTTGTATTGAGGCACTTTGCAAAGACTTATGCATTAAATTTGGTTACATTACGAAAATAGCCTATTGCTTAAAATTATATTATGTTTGTTTATGCATGTATTGTTACACAGTGGAACCTGTCTATACAGACCACCAAAGGGAGGCAAGAAAAGTGGTCTGTATAAGCAGGTGTTCCTTGAAGACAGGTGCCTATAGTACATGTTTGAATGAGAAACCATTATCAAGGGAAACAAACAATTTGCTCTTTGAAGACAGGTGGTCACTAAAGCAGGTTTGACTGTATATATGTGAACATTGTTTGCATCACAATGGTCCCCCATTACAATCCTGCACCCGTACTTTACCATTGCCATATTGAAAAAATTCCTTAGCCTATAAATA